TAAGCAGAACCACATTATTTAGCAAAAACATTTAAGTAATACTATTTTTTTTAAATGTAATTATCCATGAGTAAAGATAGCTCTGTATTATCCAAATGTGGCTTATATCAAAGTAAAGAGAAAGAAACATTAACTGCTATTTTTTGTTTGTTTGGCTTTTAAARAGGCCTGTAAAGGTCAAAAAAAAAGTAATTTCTTACTTCAAATATTTAGTGAGCTGTAAAATCTTATTATGATTTTAAATAGTTTTGCCAATAACCATCATGTATGTATGCAAAGCTACTGGATAGGAAGTCTTTATGGGTGCAATGTGTTACACATCTTTTGAACCACTGAATGGATAGGCCTAGGATTACTAGGAGCAGAAGAACACAACCCTGCCTGTTCAAACAAGCCCCAAGGACTCACAGCAATGCAGTCTTACCAAAGGTAACCAGAGTTCCTTGGGGCTGCATCATGTCATGTTGATGCCTTTTAAAACAAGTAAAAAGCTAGTTTGGCTGAACTTGGTAACAGTTTTTTTATTAAAAGAACCCGATGAAGAATGAAAGTAGCTTGAAAACATACTGTGATGAGGTAAACCTCATTCCAGAAAGAATCTGTTTCGTCTGAGATGGAAGTGTGTTAGGACTGTAAACAGCTATGGCTCTCCTTGGCAGTATTTAATAAAGTTTGAATTACTGTGATGGTGAAAGTGGTTTGTCCGCACCTGAGGTCATGTACTTGTGTTCCCATCACTAACGAATTGTAACGAATCCACATGACGATTCTACTTGTGACTTGCATGTTTATCTCTGAGCAATGCTCAGCTTCCTCCACACATTCAAGGCCTTGTGAAAGGAACAGGTTTACATGGCGTTTCCTCCTTTTTCAGGGCAGTTTTTGGAGAATATACCCAATAAGAATAAGGTTGATGGTATCTCCAAGTTAAGCAACATTTTTGTCATCTTTTAGAATACAGGAGATAATTTGACTGATTTTGCTTGAATAGTATTTTAGGGTCCTCAATTGCTAAATAATGTTAGAATAAACCAGAATATTAAGTGAAAAGGATACTGATAAAAGATGCTGGTATCTTTGTTTTTGAAGATACTGAACATAATTAGAAACATTCTCTGATCCAATTCTGCCTTTACATGACTAACAGTTTTATTCAGAAATGTTGTCAGCTCTAAATTAATTGCACAGCAGATGAAGCTTTAACTAGCAAATATACATTTTTAATAATTGCAACTTACTAAGTTATTAAACTAGTGATTGAAACATTTGATACTAACATAATATCATGCATTATCATCTTTTCAACTCTAATGATGCCTGTGACATTATTTTCACAGTCTGTTAATTGCTAAAGTAGCAAGTTAATCATGATGGCAGTGAAAACGTGTTTATCAAACATGTAGAAACATTGACATTTTCATTACTTATTTAATAATTCAGTGATAATCATTATATTATTAGCATCATGTTAAGATTCCAGAGCTTTTAGTTGTGTATTAGAAGTACAATTGCACAGGATCTTCTCAGATACCTTTCTTGTTCTTTATTTTTATGGTATTTGTGATGGAGTCATGAGTAATTTATTATTAAAATATATGAGCTGTTTGCAATATATATGTATTCATATAGTTTAATTGGAGGCAATAAAGARAACCAATATATGCTAACAATAAGAAAAGACACCGCTTGGTAAGACATGGGGAACACTCCTTTGATAATAGATGTCTTCAAAAAAAAGAAACAAATGTTCATTAATATTTCTGGGAAAGGAGACTGACACACATTCCCTAAAAAGGGTGTCTGAAGATGATACTAGGCTATTATTCAAAGATCACAGAAACACACTTCATACAGTAAGCTTGCAGACTGCAAGCAATGTCATTTTTTTCCCTTTCTTTTTACGGTGTTTTGATAAAACAAAACTTGGAACGGTCAGTCCTTTCAAAACCATTTGCTAACTACTCGCTTTGGCTTCCTGACAGGAAGAACTACAGGTGCTAAGAACATCTGCATTCCCATCGGCTGATGGAGCATGACTGATTTACAAAGTGATGTTGTCGAGCTCATAGCCTGCATGTGAGAGAGCTTCCAGGGAATGGGCCAGAAAATGGACAGGGGTTGTTGTCATGTGAACCTACTCATCTTACTTATTCTTTCTGTGATGTGATTAACATGGATAAAAGTGATGGATGGAAAATATAATATAAACTTAAGCAAATTTTAATGATACTCAGTTGATGTCTATGAGATGGAACTGTGATTTCATTAGTTTAATGTCAGGAGAATTATAAAATTAACTTTTGTACAAGGTACTTTCAGTGTATAAAAATAAATAAATTCAATATGACAAAATGTATCTGAAATATTAATCATGTCAGTATTACTTCCATGCTTTGCTGTAATAAAATGTGAGGAATCAAATGTGCTTGTCACACTTTATGACTTCATTTATAAATCATTTATAAATTTATAAAAAGACATAATATGCTATTTCAAAATATTACACATAAGTTACAGATATGAATACTGTAAGTTGTGAACACCTTATGTGAGGCTAATTTGAATATCTTTTTATTTTATAGAAAATATAAATGAAAATGAAAAACAGACTCCTTAATAACGACTAATAGCTATAATCCTAATAAGGAGATTTATCTTTTTGACTTTATAAATACGCATTTTTTGAAAAGAAATGAAAGAAGAGTAATGGGGAGATAAAGAATGGTGCCACACAGTACACAAGTACTGAAAAAAGCTTTTTAAAACATTACAATTTAAGCCATTTAAGAAAAAAAAAGTAAATAAAATTTACTTAAGAGACTCAATTAGCTGTCAAAAAAGACATACTTTACTGTTTCCTTCTGGACACAGATTCACTCTCTGTTTCTTAATTTAGCTAATGAAAAGGCTGTTTTTCACCCTAACTCTATCTGCCCAACCGTGTTTGAAGAGGATATTGGTCCTAGTAGAGTTCTACTGCAACTCATGAAGAACAGTTTCTCAGAATCTGTCCATTTTCTAAAAACTTTACATCATATCAATTTTGCTGTTTATAGAATGTATTTTTGAGACCTCTTTGTCCTGGGAAAGTTCAGAAATGACACCATCTGCATACTTCAGATGGTTTTATCATGAACAGAAACTTTAATTTGGTGATGGTAGTACAAGGACTACTTCACCACTTCTTTAAAGAACTGATTTATATTCCTGCATTGATGTAAATCAGTTCTCAGTTCATCAGTGGTGTCAGCCTGCAAACTCACTTAAGAATTGCTGGGTTTCATACAAAAGATGATGGAGAATTTCCTCATAATGCCTGATGTGAATGATAATTTTGCAGTTTGATTTTTCTCCTTTTCCTTCTCCCTCATTTTCTCCATGTAAATAATGCCTTAGTTGAAATTTAGGATAGATTGACTGCTCAAATTTTATTCTTCATAATKCTCTTTGAGATATGGGCATTCTGTTGTGACGGAGAAGATAAATGAACAGCTTCTCAATGTTTATCTTATTTTGGCTGACAGARGACTAGTATTTCAGTTCAACTTTGACAAGCAGAAAAAATACAAATGTTGCAGTTATTTGGGTTTTACCCATGACAAAAGGATACATGAGCAGTCATACAGCAATTACATGGGATGTCATCTGGAAAGCATTGGTGTTCATGGTGACCAGTGTTATTTTATGCTTTGTGCTACACCTTTACCCACCTAGATAAAGACCTGTTATTATATGGCAGACTCTAGAAGAAGGAGCTTTGGTCTGGGTTTATATAGCTTGTATAATAAAAGTGCAGTAGTCTTACYGCATCTTTGAGGCCCTACCAGAACACAAATAGCAAAGCGTGAAGTGGATGGTATCTCCTAAAAGTTGGAAAAAACAGCGTAGCTTCTTTAGTCCCACGGGTGCAATACCTAAAACATCGACCTCTAATCTACTCCATGACATTGTTTGTTYTATGCTCGAGGACTGAGAAATCATTCTGGTTTCATCCTGGGAAATAAATTCAATCCAATGGCCTAAAGAATGAGTCACGTCTTTAATAAAAGGAGATAAAACCCATTTCTGACAAAGCATTACAAGAGGTCAAAGTGTACAGAGGAGAAGAAATTATCTTTGCAAATGAAATGCAAAATTATTCTGAGCCCTGACTATTCGATAATAATGAAATCTGCATGATTTGCTGTGTGCTGCAGCAGCTCGCCTGTCATTTACAAACTAAGCACACAAAAATTAGGGCAGAGGGGCTCTGCTCGCCCCAAAGGTCTTTTTTTTTTAATGGCCATATGTGGCAATTCAAGACAATCATTGATAATCCTATCCTTTCCTAAGGAAATGGCACAGTACTGCCATTACTGTACATCTATTAAATAGATTTAATAATCTATTAAAATGAAGGTTGAGTTCTGATTTTTTTTTACCAGAATCAATTCTTAAAGCTTAACACAAGCTTAAATGAGTCATGTGCTGCATAGATTCATAATAATTGGTTTTATTCAGTAGATGTTACTGCTTTTATTTAGTAGATGTTGCTCTGTCTTAAGATACAGGAAAGTGGGAACATAGCAGCTCCGCTGGCCTCCGGCTCCACTGCCAGTCTTTGTTGGAGGGCAGTTATTTCCCCTGCAGCACCACTCTGGCTTATCCTGCCTCTCTGTTTGACTGTCCCACACCCGGGGCTCTCCGACATTCGCTCAGTTGGCCAACAAGGCCGTTTTCACGGCCTGCTGTGGGAATGAAACTGCGGCCACAGCCCAAGGCCGCCCCAGTTGGGATAGATGAGAGGATCTCGCGCCCGCCTCAAGATGGCGGCGCAGCCACGGCCGCCCTCCCGCCCGCGGCAGGGACTACGTTACCCAGCGCGCCCCGCGCCGCCCGTGGTGCCGCGCGGCGGGCAGCGCTGTCGTGGCGCCCGCGGGGTGAATGAGGCGGGAGCGGGGGCTGCGCCGCGGCCGCCCCGCCGAGCGCCCCTGCCCGCAGCCCGCCGAGCCGCCGCCTTCCTCCTGCTCCTCCTCCGGCAGCGCCGGGCACGGCCATGAGGCGCGCGGGGCTGGGTAAGCGTCGGGGCCTGCAGCCACCGGGCGAGCGGGGAGCGCCGCGGCAGGGCCCGGAGCGGCGGCGGCCTGTGCTGCGCTCCCGGACGGGCCCGGGGCCCGGGCAGCTGCGGCCTGCGCAGGGGGTCGGGCCCCCGGGGATCCCCCACTGTCCTCCCTTCCCTCCTTCCCTTCCTCCTTCTCTCCCTCCTTTCTTGCAGCGCAGCCCGGGGTCCGTCCTGGGGGATAAAAGACACGTCRTCCTCGGTCAGATCGCTCCCATGTTTTCACTGGGTTTATAACTTTTATGTAATTTTTTTTTTGGAGAAACAAAAAACAAACCAACAAGAAAACCCTCAGCTTACTTTGTGCATAGCCAGGTGCACGTGCCCAAGTCCTGAGAGCTCTGGAGGACCTTGGGGCCTGTTTCTCCGCCCGTGGCCACGTCGCCGGCCGTGCCAGCMCCTTGACCTCCTGCTCTGCGCCCCGGCACCTCTGGGTGCTGTCACCTCCCTGCACAGCCTAGGGAGCCCCCGTCGTGCCCCAGAACCCCGGATCTGAGGATCTGGTGCTTCTTCCTATACAGGAATCTCCCGATGAATGTGTACACCTGATGAATGCCACCTRTTAGACCTATGGTATCTATAATAGTGCTCTAGATTTACTTTTCCACTTTTCTGTTCTGTTTTTGATAAGATATGTGCAAGTTAAAACAAGTCTTGGAGGTGCAGAGGCCAGATGGGAAGCCAGCTCGTTATGCTGCTTATGAAAATGTGACATAATAGATGTTTGTGGAAGGAAACATAAGAAAAAGAATGTACCTTCTTCTAATATGTTTCAAGGAATCAGTGGCTTAGAGAACAAACAAAGTACATCTTTTAAAAAACACAACACTAAGGACAAGGAGAAGATTTAACATCTGTTATGGCTGTAAAATGCAAAAAAAAAAATTTGCTGCTTGCTTGCAGGTTTATTAAATTTTGCCTTGCCATGTCAGCCTTTATGATAAAGCTTGTAATTGTTCTTTTCAGCCTGCCTTTCTTAGTTTTGGTTTCTCTTCTTTGGCTGTGGGTGTTAGACTTGAGTCATGCAGTGCATCTAGAGTAGATGTAGCTTTCACTTTGGGTCCCAGCACTGCTGTCCCGCTGCTGTTTTTAGGAGATCTTTGTAAGGGGTTGGAGGAACCAATTCTCTTCTGTTCTGGTTGCTCCTGACTTGCTGAGCTGCTTAGAGAGCTGTCCTGAGGCTCCATCACTCAATGGGCAAAGGCAGGAGCAGAATTGCAGAACGGAGGTAGAAGAAGAAGGTTCAGTAGCCTTGTCTTCTTATGTAAGCCTTTTTTTGTAGAGAAATGTGTGTAAGGATCATATTATCACCTGTTCTTCAAATGTGGTTGTTCTAAAATACTTAGGCTATTGCCCATGAAAGTCTTTGGGCTTTGATTTTTTTATTTCTTTAAGCCATTAATCTCAGGAAATGCACTTGGAAATGGCAAGTGTGCCTTTTCCCATATGAAGGGTACTTGCTTCAGTGGTACCTTCTGTCTGTAATTGCTGGCTGTTGTGTCCATAGGTGATGGAGCACCTTCTGGTAACTATGGCTATACCAACAGTGGATACAGTGTATATGAAGAAGAAAATGAAAGGTTAACAGAAAGYCTGCGTACCAAAGTCAGTGCCATTAAATCAGTAAGTATGTAATTAYAGTATCATCATCACACCCATTGAATTAAATTACAGAGACTAGCAGTAGGCTTAGTTTAAAATATAAATTTAATGCAGTGAAGAATTATGGGTCAGCTAAAATGCACAATGTATTAATTTGTGTGTATAATTTTTCCTTTAGTTAGGCTTTAGCTCTAGGTGTCCTTTTTGGGTAATCTTGAGSATAGCTACAGTGCTATCCTGCTAATTAATTATCCTAGAAAATGTATCACTGTCCTGACAGAAACTGGAAACTTGACTTTAAGTCAGTGAGTGATCTGTCAATACATTGGCTCTGGTTAATTTAAGAATTTGGACTACTTCAGCAGAACTTGATAAGCCAGAATGATGATAACAAAAGCRTATGTTGACAGATCTATAATGTGTAATAGCTGTCAGAAACAGAGGCTCGTGCCCTCTTTGAAGGAAGCTTTTTTTATGTAAGACTAGCAGAAGGTGCTCTTAAACTGTTTACCTAGAAAGCTTATGTAAAATGAGTGTCAGTCTTGACATGGTTAGAGATTGCTGTGAAATACAGCAGTAAGAAATCATGAGATTGAGTGATGGCACAAAGATACACAGGCTTTGATTAATCCAAAGCATCAGGGCTTGTAGCACCGTTCCCTTCTGGAATGCAYGGAATGGAATGGATTTTTCATTCTAATTATGTGTAATGGCTAACATAGATGTAACTTTTTTTTTTTTTTAATAGCTTTCCATTGAAATTGGAACAGAAGTTAAAAATCAAAATAAAATGTTATCAGAGATGGTAAGTGTTCAGTTACTGTTGTCCGATATTTAAATAAAATTAATGTAAAATGAATCTTTTTTAGTATAAATTATTGTTTTAAAATATTGACAGATTCATATTGTTCATAAAATATGACCAGTTCATCAGCAAGACTTCTGTTCAGAGAATGATGTGCAATTGTGGCGTTCTAAGGACTGACCAAGTACTCAAGATATGACTATTTGTTTGGAATTAGCAAGCATGTACTATTTAAAAGGCAGTTCTATGCTATTTGGACTTAATGGAAAATGGAAGCAAAATAGTGTTTTTCTTAAGACATACATGCATTTTTTTGCTTAAAAGTGAATTTGTTGTGGGAGAGGAGTAAGAACATTCCTGGATCAATGGGATAAACTTCCTGCTAATTTTTAGAAGACTTGAAAGGATTACCCTTAGCAAGGAGTACTTTGTTTCCTCACAGTAACTTGTTTCTTCTTTTCTTTCTTTTTCTTAATGTAGGATAATGACTTTGACTCTGCRGGCGGACTTCTAGGTGCAACAATGGGCAGACTGAGAACACTTTCCAGAGGGAGTCAGACCAAACTGCTGTGCTACATGATGCTCTTCTCGTTGTTTGTTTTTTTTGTAATATACTGGATTATTAAACTGAGGTGATAAAAGTTATCTTCAGTTTAATTTGTGTAATTTCAGCCATAAAACAGTCTGAATTAATGAATACGGTGATCTARACTGACATATTCTGTCAAAACATGATCTTGCAGTAAATTGCATTAAGTTCTAATGCAGTATTCTTCTTAATCTATTGGAATCTTTCACATAAGCCTCTCTCCTAGATGCATTATTTGTAGGTATGCAGAAACCACTAGCACATACAGTTGCCTTTTATAGGGTAGAATCTATTTTTAGAATTAGGTTAAACAAAAAAGCCCTCCAAAACAAATACTGTTCAGATAAGAATTCAAGTGAAAAATGTGAAACTTTCYGAGTCTGCTTTTAATTCTAGACCATGCTGTAAACTAGAGCTTCAGTTTCAGWCATTTAGTTCTAGAAGTACGAAGAATACTTGGATCTTACTGAATTGATTTTTATTTATGTTTTTTTAAGGGACTGGCTTGAAGCTAACAAATGTAAAAACGGTGCCCTCAGAACTAATTTTGATACCCAAAAGGTTGAGGGCTAATAGTCTACAGATTCTGGAAGCTTCAAAATTGTTTTTTATGGAGAAGCTGTGTAAAACTGGATTTTTTTTTTTAATTGAGGCTAAGTAATACTTAAACATCTGTTTCTTTAAGCAAATACCTTTAATTTTTCAGATCCACCAATATGGACACAGTAAAAATGTTTTCCATATGTTTTATATTTTACTGATTCCATTGAATCACTAGAACTTTTACCAGTAGTATATTCACTTTTCCATTAATAATGATCTCTAAAAGTGCATGATATCAGAAATGTGAGGTCAGTTATTTTGACTTTTGTACTGAGGTTTATAATGATGCACCTGTTGAAGGTGCTGTCAGGGTAACTTCTTACGACTTTTTTTTTTGGCTCATCAAATAGTTTCTTATGCTTGAACCTATTACAGTGCTGAGTTCAACATTTACAGAGTCAATTGAAATTGTATCTACATTTTTACTAACTTTTTWAAAAACGTTGTATAAGTATTGCCCTGAATAAATTAATTACAATCGATATAAATAAAGCATCTTGTAGTACTCCAGGTATATGTAGTTTGTTTGTGTGCATTCTTTCCTAAGACAGAATAACAAGCTTTTTTGGAATTGTTGCTGTATATAAGGAGTTAGAATTTTGAAAGGATTGCTGTTAAAAGAAATGTTGATATATGCCGCCTACTTCTTTTATGTTAGATTTCATATTTTAACAAAAAATTGGGCAGATAAATCACTAATACAATACATTTATACTGAATTTGTAGAAGTGAATAAAGTTCAAGTATTTGTAGCTGATTTAATCTTTGACTGTTAAGAGGACTATAAATTTAATTTCTGAGAGAGGAAAAAAAAAATCTGGATATTAACGCTAGAAAAAGGCATGTTCTTCATCTGAGAATTAAGAAGCTTGTCAAGGAGTGTAACATTGCCAAAGCCGACACATAGGATGTAACTCACCACCCAAAACTGATGCACTTTTATAATGTTACCAAGACTGGAGTTGTAATAATGGTGTTTTTTGTAATTGAGCTATAAATGGTAATAGTTTTTTATTATTGATGTTAAGTAGAAAATGCATAAATACAACTAGTTACTTGAATGATGCACTTATCTTTGCTTTTGAAGTCTTTTACCTATCATTCAGGGCATGTATAAAGTAAAGAGGAAAAAAGGACTTTGGTTTTAAATCCAAAACCACATTAAAAGGTAATTTGTGAAGGATAGGAAGTCGTGTTTTCTGGAATAATACTTTGATATTTTGCATTATAATCATTCTCTCCACAATCCCCCTCCCCTTTTTTCTCCAGGATGGCAGGGGAGGAGGAGAGGGAAAAGAAATGGTAAAAATCTTGCTTCTCTCTTCCTTTCTCTTTCTCATTTAGAATTCTCCTTTTTTAAAATTTTCTATWCCATATTAAGTTGAGGCAGGAGAGAGAGAGTGGGAGGAAGAAAATTTTAAGTGCAAAAGGTATATTGAACTACTTAAACAGATTTTTTATGTTGTTTTATATTTTTAAGGATGAATATGACTGTGAATAGCTTTTATTTAAAAAATGCACATGGACCTTTTCATTAAATGGAAATAAGACTTKTAGGCTTTCTTAATTTGGAATATTAACTTTTTGAACTGCAAGACAGACAAATCAATGCTACATATTCAAAAGTTATTTCACTTTTTTTTGTATATCTATATTACATTTGAAGCAAGTACAGGATATAAAATACTGCAGTTCACTTCAAGGAGAAAGTTATTGTTCCAGCATGAGACCTGAAAAATGCTATGAATTTTCTTTGAAAAGTTAAGATAACTTTGTGCAAAAATTGAACAATTGAATCTCAGGAATTAAGGGAAATGATGATATTAATGATTAGTTAATAATTCCYTTAATAATGTTAAGGGAAACAACCACTGAGGGAATCTATTCATTACAGTTTCAGAATTTTTTTTCTGCTTTTGGTTTTGTGGTTGTTTTCTGGTAGAAAACTATTATTCTAAAAGTCTTTAGAATTTGTAAATAGTAGTTAACAGATTTCAAGGTGTTATAATATGGCCTTGTAGAGTAAAATATGCTATATATGCGATGTTATAGAAAAATAGTATTACAGGTTTGTGCTTTATTGTATCAGTTGCACGAGAATGCTGCAATATGCCCATTCTTCATCTTGTATGTGTGTTTTTTTTTAACATGCAGTTTTAACACAGTATTTTCATCTTGTTTCTCAGTTTAATGTAACAGATTCTTCCTAACAGCTGGAGAAGTTGATGCAAAAGGAAATACCATATTTTAAATATTAAACTGTTAACCTTACAGTAACATGGAAATTCCTTAGAAACCACTTTTCTTAGAAAAAATGGTTTCTTTCTTCTAAGAAATTCTAATTCCTTAGAAACTTTTTTTTTTTTTTTTT